TGAAGGGGGCCGCAGCTTGGGCTGCCACGTGGATGGCCGGCGTCGCGCTACTCGGCCGACCGACGAGAGGTTCGCCATGGTGCGCAAGGGCCTCAAGTGCTTGCTGAAGCGAAGGAGGGTCGCAGGCTGGCAGCTGGAGATGGTGCTTGGCCATGCGACGTTCATGGCTTTTGATCGCCGCGAGATACTGTCCATCTTTCATGCAGTATACGCCTTCGTGGCGCAAAGTTACCACGCCTTCTCTGTGCTGTGGCCGTCTGCGACCTGCTACCTCGGTATCGTGGTGATGCTGGAGTCGAGTTGGTCCCGCGCGTGGGTTCCTGTGGTCTACTCCTCCGACGCGAGCCTCTACGGCTACGGCGTCGCCGAGGCGAGCTTCGACCCAGAGGCCGTGGCAGAGGTCGGGCGCATCTCAGAGCTGTCGCGCTGGCGCCTGGGCGCTGGGCTCGCGAGGCAGCGCGCCTTCGAGTGCGCCGGCTTCCTGCTCGACGGCGAGACGGGCGAGGTCGTCTGCGATGCCAGCGGGGCGCGCCGCCAACTGGGCGCCGAGCTGCGGCGCGCGCTGGCCAGCGAGCGTTGGGAGGTCGATCCCAGCGTCCCGCAGGTGCCCAGCCGTTTGTTGCACGACTCCCACTGGGCCACAGTGATGGCAGACAGGTGGGCATATTGAGATGATATCGTGAGGTTTGATAGCCTCTCCCTCGTGCTGTTTTTCTGCTGATTCAGGGCCAGGGATTTTCGGTTTCTAATTCAAGTCCGTCGTTTTGTAGCTCTGTGCCATGCGAGAGACATTAACTTTGTGGTTCGTTGTATTCCGAGCGAGCTCAATTCTGGTGATGAGGGAAGTTTGAGATTCGATCCTGGATATGATGCCAGCAAGACCTTCGTCGCCCATCTTGGTTCAAATTTGGTTCTGGGGAGGTTGCTTCCGGCCTCGTTGATGCATCCTTGGCGAGCGCTGCCCGACCGCGAGGGCTCGCGGTGACGGACGCTGAGCAGGACTGCTGCGCAATTGGACTCGCCCGTGACCGAGGTGGGCCGCAGGCGCGCGCGGACGCTGAGCGCGGGGGAGGGCTGGAGTCGCTGGGGAGCCCACCCGCCCAGAGGGCGCGCGCGCTGGATCGCGGCCGCGGGCTCGCTGCAATATTGGCGGTGAGACAGCCCGTGCAGGTGCCCCCCCGGGCGAGCGTGGAGGCCTGCCTGGAGCTGGGCCTGCGCCGGGACCTTCGACCCCCAGCGGGCGCCGCCGCCCGCGCGGGCACCGCGGCCGAGGCCGAGGGCGCGAGCGAGGAGAGCAGCGACGCCGAGGGGGGATGGCCCGCGCTCGCAAGGCGCTTGAGATGCTGGAGACCTCAGCCGAGGCCGAGGGCGACGAGAGGCTGGGGGTCAGCTACCTCGAGCGGCGGTCAGTTGGGGCGGCCGCACTCGAGACCTATCGCCAGTGCGTGCTCGCGATCGGCGTCTGGGCCCGCTGCTCGCTGGACGCGCTGCCGGAGCCCGCGGAGCTGGGCGCCCGCCAGGGGGGGCCACGTGAACGCGGAGTTCTTGCGGGGGGTGAAAAGCTGGCGAGGCGAGAATCTCATGGCTGGATTGATGTTCTTCCGCCCGGACTGCGGCCGCCTGGGGGGGCTGCGCCTGCCGCGGGCCTGCCGCGGGCCCTGCCTCAAGGGGCGGAAGAAGCATTCGCCATCTCGCTCTCGGACGCCCTGGGTGTGCGCGATCTGGGCGGCCATTGCAGTGGAGCTGCGCCGGGTGGGAGCGCCTCTGGCGGGCGCGACGGTGCTGATCATGGTGGAGTGTTACCTTCGGCCAGCTGAGCGGCTGGACTTGACCGGCAAGTCTTTCTTGGCTCCGAGCGAGCACGCTGTCCAGAGCTGGGTGGCGCGGCCCCCCCCCAGAGTCGGGCACGGCCCGGAGCAAGGTGGGGCGGCCGACGACGCGATGTCTGCGATTCGGGAAGGTGCCCTTGGATGAGCCACATCTTGCGGGCTCTGAAAGACAAGGGCTCGGCAAGGCTCTTCCAGGGCATTGGCCACCCGCAGTTCCTGTGCCTCTTCCGGTGAGCGGCTCTGGATATCGGAGCCAATGTCGTCCCCTATCAAGGCCGGCACAGCGGGGCATCGCTGGGTCGGGCAACAGGACGGCGCTCTCTGGAGGAGGTGCAGAGAGAGGGCGGTGGGCTGCGCTGTCGTCGGTGAAGAGACACGGCAAGTCGGGTCGCCTGAACGAGAGCTGGGAGGCCCTGCCAGCAGAGACGAGGAGTCGCTGCGCGGCGGCCTCACGACTGCTGGAAGATGCGCTGCTATTGGGACGAGCCGCGCCAGTGCCGACTTTCGTGCGGGGCCTTGCGCGGGCGCCAGTGAACCAGGCTTTACTGCATCAGGCTCGCCCGTTCCTGCGAGATCTGATTTCTGGCGGCAGAGGCGTCGGAGGCGCGGCCAGGCGATTTGGGATATATTCGATATCTTTGGATCTCAAGAAGGGGCCTGACCAAGGTGTGTGCAGCTCTCTCAATCTGAAAGCGATCGAGCGACACTTTAGACTTGGTCGGGTCCTCGGTGCGATGCTGGCGCCACCCTGCTCGAATTTCTCACTGGCTCGGAACCGATATCCTGTGAGGAGTGCCGAGAGACCAGAAGGGCTCGCTGTTTTGCGTGGCATCGATCGGGAGGCGGTGTGAGGCTGAAACCGATGTATGGGAGCGGCGTTGTTTTGATCAGGTTGCGCCGTTTGCATAGAATGTGCCGTATGTTCTGGAGAATCTTCAGACATCGTATATGTAGAAGTGCTCAGGCATGACCACTCACGTGATGCCCCACAGTCGATTGTCGGATCTGCATCAGTGCGCTTGTGGGTCGAAGCGGCGGAGAGCTACCCGGGTGGTTCTGGGCTGCGTTACGGAAGTTGGGGACTTCGCCCTGGCTTACCTTGGACGCCTCAGGTGTCTTGGGGGACATGGTTTATGCAGCTTTCGGCTCGGGGGAAAGCACATTGCATTCGAGGGGGAGGCTATTACGTCCGTTTCAGATGCGTACCCACCTCGCCTTGCTGCGTGGCTGTGTAAAGCTCTGCTAAACACGTCCTAAGCAAAGCGGTTGCACACTTGGTGATTCCGAGGGTCGACGCCTTCTCCGCCTGAGAATGGTCCTGCCGCTTCGCTGTGAACGTCGACTTTGCGGAACATATGGGGTCTGGCCTGTCCGCTTCACGTCCCATAACCCCTGGTCGCGACGATCGTGGCATCATATTCCTCCACTGAAAAAGTGATTAAGCATGTGTGTGCGTGGCACGACATTGCTCGAGCCCCTTTTTAGATGTTGCAGCCTCTTCAGCAGCAGTCTCTCCGCTGCTGCTGGGACAGGCTTCCCCACCCTCGGCCACCCTGGACCTGACTTTACACAGCGCGCGTCTGGTTTTACTATTCTAACACTTCCGCTCCGCTCATGTGGGGTTTGGCCTGTCCGTTGCACGTCCCATAACCCCTGGTCGCGACCCTCGTGGTATCAGACCACCATTGAAAAAGTGATTCAGCAAATCATCCGAAAACGTTTTTGGAAAATCATTGGTTTTGCTTCGTGGGGCCCTCTCGGGGAGCCTCTTGGAGGGTTCTCGGGCCGTCTCGGGAGCATTTTGGGCCGTCTTGGGGCCCATCGTGGGACATCTTGGGACCATCTTGGGCCGTCTAGGCCTCCTCAGGCTCTCTTCGGAGCCTCTTCGGGCAACCTTTGAGGCCTCTCGGGCCGCTCTGGCCGCGGGGTAGCGTCACCATGAGAATCCTATGGTGACCCGGAACAGCCCGGATTTGAGGTTCACCCCCTTCGTTGACTGTTTGGTGGCGCGGCGGGGCCCCCTAGCAGACAGTAGCAGGAGGCAGGAAACAGGACTGGAGAGACGAAAGGCCAAACAACGAATGACAACACGTAACACATGACAGCAGACCGCACACACCTCCGCAGCCTTGCCCCCTCGGATGGGGCCGGCGGATTTTCTGCATATACACGCACACGCACACATCTATATGGGTATATCTATATGTATAAATGTATGCATGTATGTATGTATGTATGTATGTATGCATGCATGCATGCATGCATGTATGTATGTATGTATGTATGTATGTATGTATGTATGTATGTATGTATGTATGTATGTATGTATGTATGTATGTATGTATGTGTGTATGCATGTATGTATGCATGTATGTATGAATGTATGTATATACATATATGTATACATATATATATATATATATATATATATATAACCGAAGGGTTTCGTCCCCTGCCGCTGGCCCACTCTATCATAATGGAATATATCAGAGTCGCGTCGGTGCGTAACGGCGCTGCCTTGGCGCATCTGGCAACATCATGCGGGGGCGGATGGGAATCACCAGCGCGTACTGAGACGTTGGCTTTATCCCAGTGGCTTTTGCCCTCCCGCCACGGTGCCTGGGTTGTGGGTCTGAGGCTTCTTGTATACGTGGCCTCTCGGGGGCCTCTTGGAGGCTTTTTGGGTGCCTCTTGGCGGCTTCTTGGGTCCTCGTGTACCTTCTGGGCATCTTGGAGGCCTCTTGGCCGCGTCTTGGGCGCCTCTTGGGGCCTCTTGGGGCCTCTTGGCCTCCTCGGGGCATCTCGGAGCACTTCTTGGGCGATCTTGGAGCCCTCTTGGGCCGTCGTGAGGCCCTCTTGGCGGCGTCTTTGGCTGTCTTGGGGCGGTATTGGGAGCCACTCGAGCCCTGTTGGAGCGTCGGAAACCCGAAACTACCAGAAACACCTGAGAAACAAAAGCGACTTTTGGGGCAGTTTCCGGTACCGCGCCCCTGGGCCTCCCAGGGAGGCGCCAAAACGCTTCAGGGCGGCCCAAGAGGCCCCCAAGAAGCCTCCAGAACACGAAAGGACGGCCCAAGACGCGCCCAAGCAACCCAAGACAGACTTCCGACGGCTCTCCAGGCTTCCAGGAGGCCTCCAAGAGGCACCAAGAGAGCACCGAGAGCGCCCCGTAGCCATTTTGGCTCAAGCCGCGATAAGGGCGAGCAGATTTCCGATCTACAGCTTCTGGTCAGGTTAGCGCTTCCCCACCAGTTGTCCTGCACGCGATGACGTCCACCGATGAGCTCAAGGCGCTGAAGCAGAACATGTCGCCGATCGTCGCCTGCTGCTGCTACGAGCTGTCCTGCACCGCCAGCGAGGTGATGAATCCGCCGCTTATGGGCTCCTTCAAAGTCTGCTGCTGCGCGGGATCTATCGCGCTCGAGTGCTGCTGCATCAGCTGCGAGCCCGACCCCTGCTGGTCCGAGGAGCGCGGCTGCTGCGAGATCGCGTCCAAGATGCTCTGCTGCTACACGGAGACGCAGTTCCCCCCCGGCAAGGACATCGGATGCGGCTGCTGCGGCGTTGCATTCTGCCGCACGAGCGATGACGCGCCTCCGGCCGAGGAGTGAGGAGCCTCGGCTCGGGGCGCCTGTTGTGCGCGCGAATAGTTTGATGCGTCGGTGTAATCTCGTCCGGCGCTTCCCCGTCAAGAGCACGAAATGATTCGCAAAGACGAGTTGCTTGCAGTTGCCGTGCGGGTGTTGGCCTCTTCTGAACTCCTTGTCCGCAGCAAAGATGCCTGTCTGCGAGAAAACAAAGAGCACCGAGAGCGCCCGAACATGCCAAAATCTTGTCATTTGTTTAAACAGATGTCTAGCCTTCTCGCGGTTTCGAGCTTCCAGCGCTTCAAGACGGCCGAAAAGGCCCCCCAGACCGCCCCCAAATCGCCCAATAGCCCCCCAGACGGCTCCAAGACGAGCCAAGACGGCCCAAAGACGGCCGCAGAGCGCCCCGAGGCAGCTCAAGAGAGCCCCAAGATGGCCCGACAGGGGGAACGCAAATCGACAATCCGGGCTTTCCGCTCCAAGATGCTCCCAGGAGACCCCAAGAGTCCCTCAAAGAGCCTGAAGAGGCCCCGAAGAGCCCCGAAGAGGCCCAAAAGTGGCCCCAAGCGGCCCGAAAACAGCCCCCCGACTGGCTTCCAGACTGCCAACCAAGAGTTCCCTGCACGCCTCCTAGCCCCCCCCCCTGGGTTCCTTCGAACTGCATGTTCAGAGGCCCCACTTGAAAAAAAAGGAAAAAAAAGGAAATCAAGTGATTAGATGTTTGTTCAAGTTCATCCCGAGCCCCATCAAGACTTCGGGGTCACATTGCAGATTTTTCTAGAATTCTGTTGAACTCTCTGACGCTGTCTTGGCACTCTCTTGGGTCGTCTTCGTGTCCTCTTGGCTGCCCCTGGAACCACCGTAAAAATCGAGATCCCATGGGTTCGCCTGTCCAGCCAAGCGCGCGCGCGCCAAGAAACAAAAATCGATGGGACCTCTCAAAGCCTTACGAGCGCTTTGCCCCAAGGTTCTCCCAGAGGTTTTCGAGGCGCCCCCCAGATGCCTGCGGAGACTCCCGGGAGACTCCCGGGAAAGGTTCGCGCTTTGCCTCAAGGTGGCTCCAAGGATCTTCCGTAGCCATTTTGGCTCAAGTCTTGTCTCGAATTTTACCGCACCTGTGCATCAGCCACTGACCAATCCGCAACGCATCTTCGGTTCGCGTCATCTCCGTCATGCGCGCGGCTGCGCTTCCTGCGCTGATCGTTGATGCCGTGCTACAGGCGACTCCAGTGCATTCTCTTCGCGCGCTGCCCCCCCAGTCGCCCCTGTGGCAGGCCCTCTATCCATAGACCGCGCCTTTTGAAGATCAGGAGGAGCCCGAGGACAACGAGTTCGAGGTACGCGTGACGCCCGACGAGGTGAAGGCCCTCTTTCCGGAGGGCGCGAAGATGGTTGCTTGTCCCAGCCGTCTTGGTTTTAGAGGTGCCCGAAAGCTTTCTGTCCATGATGCCACCGACGGGCTAGGTTCCAGGATCCTGAACGTCATCGGTGCTCTGAGGTACGCTGAGAAGATGAATGTTGGCTTCGGGGGGTTGGTCTCACTGGGGGGGGGGCGCCATCGTCACACAACGTGAATATCTCTGCCGGATTGCATGCGTTTGTTGCGTGTGACCTATACGTTGACGCTCTGCCGCAAGATACGCAGGTACTCCCGTCTGTACAAGCTCTAAGTCAGCAGCTCGGTAAGGGCGCAATTGCAAACGAGGCCCACGTTTATGTAGAGAGCCGTGATGACTTCAAGGGGGCGAATTACGGCATCCAGATTTCTTCGACTCTATTGGCAGCATTGAGGGCCAGCAACGCACCTATCATGCAGATGCCCCTGGTGCGTTTCCAACCCCGCGACCTCAACGTTGCCGTCCATGTACGCCGGGGAGACGTGGATGATTGGGTCCCTGGGAGAGCTACGAGCCACGAGTATTACGTTTGGCTGATAAACATCATGTGGAGCAAGGTGCCCTACGCGAAGTTCCACATCTTCAGCGAGAAGCGTCGGCGCAGCAACAACACCGACGAGTTCGACCAGTACAGCAAGCTGGGTGCCACTGTGAACCTGGACACAGAAGCAACTGAAACGCTTGCGCATTTTGCCAGGGCCGATGTCCTTGTTACTGCAAAGAGCAGCTTCTCATACGCTGCAGCCCTGTTGAACCCGAATTGTGAGCTTTACCAGAGGTGGATGTTGGCGGTGCCTGGGTGGGTGCCACGACCAAAGTCAGAAAATCTTGGAAACGACGCTACTGAAATGCTCAGTCAGCAGATCGGCAGCTGCATGCTGAGCATCGCAGCGCGGAAGTATGGCGGACAGGAGTGAGCCAGGGTTTCTACAGCGAGGTTTGCTCGCTTGTATGATCCTTCCATTCGCGTGATTATCATAGCGCTGCAGTGGCCGCATCAGGCAGTATTACACGCCGCCTTGCTGCATTTTGTAAGGGATAGTTGTAGTTGAGAATAAACGCAATCATTCCAAACCATTTCGTGGTGTTGGATCCTCGTTTTGAAGAGAACACCCAGCGTCCCTCCTTCCTCCTCAGCCTCCCCCTCCTCCCTCCTTCCACTCCTGCCTCCTCCCGTCACCCCCCTCATTTCGGCACACCTCTCACACGTTTCGTGGCCCCATAGGGAGCGCCTCCGAAGGTCCCAGTGGCGCAGCCCGCTTGCGTCTCCCACACCCAGTGCCGTGTTCCGCGGCCCCATAGGGAGTTCCACCGAAGGTCCCAGTAGCGCAGCCCGCATGCGTCTCCCACACCCAGTGCAGCGTTTCGTGGCCCCATCGGGAGCTCCACCGAAGGTCCCAGTGTCGCAGCCCGCATGCGTCTCCCACCCAGTGGCCCCGTACGGAGCTCCACCGAAGGTCTCAGTGGCGCAGCCCGCATGCGTCTCCCACACCTAGCACAGCGGTTCGTGGCCCCGTAGGGAGCTCCACCGAAGGTCCCAGTGGAGCAGCCCGCATGCGTCTGCCCAAACTGGTACAGCTTTTCGTGGCCCCGTGGGGAGCTCCACCGACGGTCCCAGGGGCGCAGCCCGCATGCGCCTCCCCCCACCCAGCACAGCGCTTCGTGGCCCCGTAGGGAGCTCCACCGAAGGTCCCAGTGTCGCAGCCCGCATGCGTTTCCCCCGCCCAGTACAGCGTTTCGTGGCCCCGTAGCGAGCTCCACCGACGGTCCCAGGGGCGCAGCCCTCATGCGTTCCCCCCACCGGGTACAGCGCTTCGTGGCCCCATAGGGAGGCCCACCGAGGGTCCCAGTGTCGCAGCCCAGTACAGCGTTTCGTAGTCTTCTACGGTAGCACCACCGAAGACGATACCTACCTATACGACCACCCTTCGGGTGATAAGGAGGTTGTGGGGGGGGGAGAGGGGGGGTACCAACATCTGACTCAATCGATCTCACTATCGTTCTCACTCAACAGAACACCACGGGACACCAGTCGATCTCGCTATCGATCGCACTATCGATCTCACTCAACGGGACACCACCAGACACCAGGGGCCACCACTGGACACCGCGGGACACCGCGGGACACCTCTCGTTCTCAGTACCGGTCTCACTATCGGTCTCACTATCGATCTCACTATCGATCTCATTCAACGGGACACTACGGGACACCACGGGACACCTGTCGATCTAACTATCGATCTCACTATCGATTTCTCTTGTTGGGACACCACGGGACACCTCGGGCACCACATCGATCTCATTTTCGATCTCACTCAACGGGGCACCACGGTACACCACGGGACACCGCTAGGCCACCGTTGGACGGACGGACGGAGGAGAATCAGGTGTCTTGACTTCGCCCTAGCAACGGCGGGTTCATGCCTCTCTCGCGCCGACGCAGTTTCGCCTCGCCCGCACGCACGACACGAACGAAACGACACGATTTCCCGGTGGGGGGGTATCCGTTCCATTGCGATCTCACCCCCCAACCTACGACAAATGCGGTAGTCACAACTGCATATGTTGGGTCCTTCGCCAGTCTAATTTTGTTTTGCCAGGCCACGTTCGAGAAAAAAACATCGTCTGCCGAACTCACCCTCGATCCGTGTGGAAGCTGGGATGCGCCAAGCGGCGCTGGCTTTGAGCCACCAGGGCCAGGCAGGTCGCCAGAACGTGCAGGTGCGCGAGCGCCCGCCCAGCCTTGTCGGTGACCCCCGAGGGCCCGATCGGTCAGCAGAGTTGATGGGGCCGACCGACGCCCTGAAATCTGTATACGACGCTTTTGCGTGGCAGCTGCGTTTTCTCTGAGGGTCCACACGGGGCCCGGGGTGTTTCTTTGACTCTTGCCGTGCTTCAGGGGTGGAAGCTTTTTGGGGGGCTTTTCGTGGTCGTCGATCGGGCGCCCGCGCCCTTGGCGGCCGTCGCGAACGTTCGTTGTCTATCGTCCGGGCGGTGGCAAGAGAAACTCTTGATTCCGCCGAATTGCGGACTCGCAGAACCCTTCCCCGAGGTGGCACCGGCGGGGCTGACTGGCAAGCAGGGGTGTTGTCCCCGAGGCGAGCCCTTCACAAATGTTCGCACTGGAGGGCCCTGGGGAGGGGGACCACGCCATGCATTTTATCCGGGCAAAAAACGCAGTCAGATGCAGTTGTGAACACCGCCGTTGTGAGAGCTGCCCTCGGTGGAGCTCCCTATGGGCACCATGCAGGCGCTGCCGCTGGGGCCTTCGGTGGAGCCCCCATATGGGGCAACGAAACGTGCGAGGGCTGTGTCCAAGTGGAGGGTGGGCGGCATGCGAACTATGCCACTGGAGCCTTCGGTGGAGCTCCCCGTGGGGCCACGAAACGTATGCGGGGTGTGCCAAGATAGAGCTGGGGGCGGCATGTGAACCATGACATTGGGGCCTTCGGTGGAGCTTCGTATGGGGCCACGCAGCGTGTGCGGGGTGTGCCAAAGTGGAGGGGGGCGGCATGCGAGTAATTCCACTGGAGCCTTCGGCTGAGCTCCCTATGGGGCCATGAAGCGTGTGTGTGTGTGTCTCTCTGTGTCTGTCTCTGTGTCTGTGTCTGTGTCTGTGTCTGTGTCTGTGTCTGTGTGTCTGTGGTGTGCGCGTGTGTGTGTGTGTGTGCCAAAGTGGAGGGGGGGGGCGGCATGTGAACCATGCCACTGGGGCTTTCGGTGCAGCTCCGTATGGGGCCACGAAGCTTGTGCGGAGTGTGCCAAAGTGGAGGGGGGCGGCATGCGAACCATGCCACTGGGGCCTTCGGTGGAGCTTTTTAGGGGGCCACGGAACGTGTGAGGGGGGGGGCCAAAGTGAGGGGGGTGACGGGAGGAGGGAGCAGGGAGGAGGAGGAGGAGGAGCGGGAGGAGGAGGAGAGGAGAGGAGGATACGGGGGGAATGTCTTTTTTCATATAATTGTTTGCTGGTGGTTGATTCCTCAGAGGGTAGAGCGTCGTGATGGTGTGTTTCTGCTCTGTAGCCCTTTCTGGCTCCAGTCATTTTGGCTGAGCCACCGACCTTCGCGGCCTCCAGGGCTGTGGATGCGCGCGGGGGCCCAGGGTGTGGTGATCCTGGTCTTCCACATCGGCTTGGCCTGGACCAGACAGCTGGGGGCAGCCGCCCGAGTGCCGCGAGGCCCACCCCCGCCGCCATCTGTGGGGGCGCGGGTGCCCGCCCCGCCAGCGCGGGGCTGTCCTGCGGCCGCGGTGCCACCCACCCCCGCGCTGGCCCAGGAGCAGAGCGCGGAGCTGGAGGCGGCCAAGGTCGACTTCCACTGGGGCGACGCGGTTTCGTTCGTAGTCTGTGCCGTGCCAGGTCGTGGATCGGCCGCTGGGGTGCACTACGGCGCTGGTGGACTAGACGTGAGGCTCGTCGGCTCCCTCGTCAAGAGTGGTGAGCTCGCGGTTGTGTCGCCCGACTTCGACGTCTACGAGGGGCAGTTGAGCTCCAACAACGGCGGTTTGGAGGGGATCCGCTTCTCGTGTTCGGTCGACGTGTGGCCGCGAGGGGCCCCCGCTCTTGGCAGTGTGCTCTACACCTTCGCGTCGTTCAAGCCCGCCGGGGTCAACGAGCTGCCAGCAGAGGCGGACCAGGTGAGCAACCTGGAACGGGCTCACCACGGGTTACCACTGGTGGGCGAGGCGGCCCGAGCACCAGGAGCCGCCGCCGTGGTGGGCACGCCCGTGCCCGCCATGGGCCCTGCGCCTGGGGCCCCCCGCCTCGCCCCGACAGGCGGGGCGTGGGTCGTCGCGGAGCCGCTCGGGGGCCACGACATCGGCGAGGAGTCCAAGCTGCTTGCGGGGGCTGTGGGGCTGGGGACCCGCGGCTGCGTGGTGATCGACAGGGGGCGCCGCCATGCTCGAGCAGCTGGGAGCGGGGGCTGACCTCACTCGCTGGGGCTTGGCGCGGAGCGGCTCTCTCTGCGATGGCCCGAGGTTCCTGGAGTGGCCCCCGACGGAGCGGACCCTGGTCGACGCCGCGCGCCCGGTGACGGCGCGCCCGCGGCAGGTGGACGCGGTCCTCTGCGGGGCGGTGCTGTTGTTGGTGGCGGTGGACGGGCTCAACGTGAAGAACCTTCTCGATGGCGTGCTCCTCCTGAGGCGGACCCCTGGGCATGGGGAGGCCGCGGCAGAAGATCTCGAGGCGCAGGACTACGAGGGGTCGGACTACTACCTAGGGATCAGCGAGTGTTCGAGAGGGGCCCCGACGGTGCCTTCGCTCTGGGCTCGCGCCGTCACCGAGCTCAGCGAAGAGGCAGTGATTCTGAAGGAGAAGCGGAAGGCATCGGAGGCTCGGGGAGCAGGCGTCGCGGACGTGACGGCCAAGGCGGACCCCTCGGCCTCCTGCAAGAAATGAAGAAGGGAGCGGGGGCGGCGGTGCCAGTAGTCGCCCCCGTCTCTGACGCGATGGCTGGCGCGAGGTCTGAGGGGGTCTCCTCCGACCGCAGTTTTGAAGGGCGTCGTCCTGAGGCCTGGCCTCGCCGACGGCAAGAAGCAGCAGGGGATCGGTGTGGCCGCGGTCTCTTCCCCCTTCCTGACGCTCCTCGTGCTCAGCGTCCTGGCGCCGGCACGGGGGGGAAGGCTCGGCTGCCCCTCGAGCGTTGGAGGCGGCGCAGGAGGCGGTCGACGGCCTGAACTTGCTCTTCGGGTGCGACCCGCAGGAGCTGTTGGTGCCGACGCAGCGTGACGGGGCTGAGGCTGTGGGCAGTTGCAGTCCCTGCACAGTGCTATTCACCAGCACCTGTTCTCCACCATCGCTTCGGGCATGTCCGATCATGTACAAAGTGACCACGCCTCTTTTCGTGAGTTGGCTGGAGCGAATGCGGATTACGAGATGCTTGCATGCGCGGCCGAGCCCTATGACCCGACGAAGGTGTCTCTGCCAGAGGGGCAGATGTCGCCCGTCGTTTCGAATCATTTTGTCTTTCCGAGCTCGGCCGTAGCCTCGACCTTGACAACGTCCTGGCCGATGCTGACGTGGCCGAGCATGTTCCGTCACCCCCCTAAACCTGAGATGAGTTCGGCCGAGAACATGCATGGGCTCGAGTCGCCAGACGAGGCGTCGCCTGTCTTCGTCGCCACGGGCGA